TTAGGTTATTGCGTTTGTGCTCATGAGTTAGACTGAGCTGCACTTTTCCCTTTTCTTCATGTCCACGTCAGATTTTGGTTTCAAGTTTGTATTAACCTCATTAAATGGAGTGGGGGATGGGACTCTCCTCTTCTCTGGAAGAGTCTGCACGAGATTGAAATGATCTGACCCTTGACTGTTGAGGAGAAGTCTGGCAAACCCACTGGGACGTGGACTATTTCGGTTTCCACTTCCGGAAGTGGGAGAATTCACAGACCCTTGCAAATCAGCTTGAGTGCAGAATCCTCTCAGACTGTCACGCCCCCCATTTCCTTTCTTCTTTTTCCTTTCTCCCTCCTTCCATTCCTTCTCCTTCTCTTCCCCTCTCCCCACTCGGCTCACCCGCTGTTTCTCTGGATGTGGGGGAGTGGCCTTGCTGACTATTGCGGGAGACAACCGCTCGGTCTGTGCATGCTTAGTTCATGTAAGCTTTCATTGAAGCGCTAGTGCGGCCAACTCGACAGTCTGGAGACAAGCCTGAGTGACCAGCTGATCACGGAGCCTCGACTGGTTGAGGTGCAGAGAATGGCCGAGGAGCTGGAGCTGCACGCACGTCGCTGCAACTCACAGAGGGAGCGGGCAGAGCTGCTGAACCGGGGGACGGCCAGGAGGTGTGATGGCTTCTACCGCGCTGTGAGCCTCATGTGGCCACACCGAAGGCCCACGCCCACACACGGCGGCTTCCTCCTGCCCGGCTGGTGTCCAGTGGTTTGTGCACAACACAGACTCCTCTTACATCCAGACACGATCTCCAAGACTCAGTGTCAAACCACTGTCCCAAGACCTCCTGCAGCTCTTGGGAGTTTTGTGGCTGAGGAAAGAGGGACAGAAGGGAAGAGCCACAGCACTAGCCACTTGGCTGGTAAGTGCAAACAGCGACAGCAGCATGAAGCTCTGGGTGCTGCCACACTCCTGACGGTGGGACAGGAAACAACGCACACACTGCCGTGCTGGGTCCTGCCACACTCCTGACGGTGGGACGGGAAACAACGCACACACTGCCGTGCTGGGTCCTGCCACA